CGGAGCCCGCATTTCCCGGCGGGAAACGCCGCTCTCCCGCCGACGCGTAGGGTTAACTCCCGCGGGCGGGAGGTGCTCCGCCATGTGAACGCTCCCTGTTTCATTAACAACACAGACACGGGGTGCATGTTATGGCTCATCAAGTAATACTAGTTTGGACCTAAGGTAAGTTACTTCAGCGGTATCACGTCAAGTGCTCGCTCTCCTGCTCTTGCAGACGTTTACGCACTTCAATTTAACTACCTTCAGACAGAGAAAGGTGGTCTCGATTCGGACTTAGGTTGCACCTGCAGATGGCTCGCAGTGCAGGGAGAGAGTTTAAGAACCCAAGCGTTGCAGAGCAACAATCATAAACTGCACTGGTTTTTAGCAAATATTTAAAACTCGTCCTCTTATGCTACAGGCACTTCCTATGTACCATGCGGATGTCAAATCTTTATATGTAATTGCTTTGGGTGCCAATTGTCGTCTCTGGCAAATTCTCTCACTTAAGGTTTCAATATACTTAAAGCAATACAGACTTCTTACATGGGGTCTGCGCATGAAACCGCTTTCTAAATAAGAAATACCATTTATTGCGATTTATTGTGCAATACAAACAAAAGAAACCAGCATAACTGAATTTGCCATTATGAAGACCACATTTGTGTGTTAGCCAAATTTAAGCCACTCGTTTATCAACGAGGTAGCTTTACAGCCAAATTCTACTCCGTTACACTGGGAGAGCTCCCATTCAGTCAACTGGCTTACGCTGGAGTAACTAAAAGTAGCCTTCGGTCCATAAAGCATTAAAAATTGAGTGCTTTTCCACAGATTATTTTCCACCTCTCATGCATGTTATGAACCAAAAAGAAAAAAAAGTGATAAAGATTAAATTGCTTTTAATTTCAGAATTTAGATTGAAAACAGTGGCTCATCCTGCTATTTGGCTTTTCATTAATATCAATAATATTAATGTTTTTCAATGATTCTGTTACTGAATTTGTGAGTTCTTGTAAAAGAGCAAGTCTTTGTGAGGAGAGCTCCTATGGTGTATGCCTAATTCATCCTACCAGTGAGAGTACTGACGTGGTATTTAGAAGATTCAGAGCATCACCCTTATTTCGCCCGGATAAATGGAGGTTTTGCCATTGGGTTATACACACGCACAAACACATACATATATCTCTATATATCTTAATCTCCAAGGTAGAGCTAACAGATCACTAACATTTCTGTCATTCATGGTGTTTAAAAACCAAAGTAGCATTTTTTTAGGCATATCGTCCAGCTGTTCATGGTACGGGTTGACTCTGATTGCTTCCACATTAATACTGAAACTCATTCTCAAAGAATGGAGGCATTTCTTAGTTTAAAAGGGTAACGCGAAGTCTAATTAGAAATAAAATTGCCGATTCTGTATGTTTCCCTAGATTTTCTTAGAGGCATAGTGGTTTTGGTGATGGATAATCAGGCTGAGAGTTAGAGGGCGGAGAAAGTGTATTCTTACCAACACAGATCTGCACAAATGCTAGAGTAATAATTGCAGCCTCTCCTATAACTGTAAGGAATGACAAAGCCATAGTAGAGCTAAGAATTTTCTGGATTTTAAACCTGCCAAATTTATGCCTCAATAAAATGAATGCCCCCCTGAGGGCCTGCATGTATGTATTGCCTCTGTGTGCTGTTTGAAAACTACTGGTTTTAACCCCAGAAGTAGATATAGTCAGTGACTACAAAAACTTGGGATAAATATATGTATAATCTATATAAAAATGTATCCGCTAACATCCTTCACAATATCCCTAGGGTACTATTGTTACACAGGTGGCTGTAAACTGCAGAAACATACAAAGCATTGGTGTTGGGGGCTAAGCCAGGTTTTACCATCAATGCGGCGTTTACTCTTCTGATAACTTACAACCTGAAATCTTCATACGTTAGGATTAAAAAATTATTTTAGTAAACAATAACAAAATAATTTTAGCAGAACAACACTTGTGCCAGCAGCCAAAACTGGTTAACGTTAAAAATCATGTATTTTTAAAAGTGTATCTGTAAATTGCATTGGCTTTTCAATTTGAAACAGGTTGGTTTTTTTTAACAAATTATTCATAAATAACTCTTTAAAATAATGGAATTTAATAATAGAAGCCAACAGTCTAGATAACAAACTTAGGTTAGTCATCATAATTTAACTTTGTTTTCCTACTACTGAAGGAGGAGCCTGCAATTACATATAAATATCTCTAGAGCACTGTCAACAGTACAGATTGATTTGGCTGTTGCGTGCCTGTTCTTGTATCATTCTTTAATGAGTGATATAGAAATCTTTGTTTGTTACTTAACTAACTGACCAGTCCAGAAAGCCAGCAATTATTTTGGCAAAACTAAATAAAACTGTATCATAAAAACTAAATCCAGAATAAGATAACTTTAAGCAATGGTCTTCTCTAAAACAGTGGATTAACTTTCTAATCAAATTTCTATACTTAAGTACAATCTATATCTTATCTTGCTGTAACCCTGCAAGCTGCTAAATTCACTGTAACTAATGATAATGTGAAGAGCTCAGGATTTTGTAAATACAGAACTAATATTTTCAAATACTTTTTACAAATCAAGTCTACACGTGCCTCTTCTCACCCCTTTCCTGGCCCCATCAAAAAACCAGCCATCTTTGATGAGGACAGAGACTCTTCCCAAAGATCTGCAAACTATCTGGTAATACACAGCCAGTTAGTTTATTGTTTGAAATAGCAATTAACCCACAGTCTCAAGGGGTTTCCCGCCTTCTGAGCACAAGGCTGCAGATGAAACCTTTTTCCTGCCATGGACAATATATTCCTGTCCAGCAAAATATTATTGCTATCTCCCCACAAAAAGATATAACACCTTTTTCTAACTGATGCTCTACAGCTTTTCCCTCAGGTAAATAAAGAACTTCTGTTCCAGATCACAAATGCCACTAACACAGTGGAACAGTAATCGTCCCCTCCCTGACAGGGGTTGCTAATAGTCATGGTAACTGTGTGCCCACCAGTACCGTGCGGCAACCTTGTTTATTCTTCCTCATTCATCTGCTTTATACACTTCAAACATCTTTCTTTAAGGAAGTTCATGTTGAGTAAAATACTTCTGTTTCAACATAAGCTCTTCACCTCTAATGTATCTCAGTAGAGTTAGGAAATACCTCCCTGCATTTTCTTTCCCAGATATCCTATAGATAGCTTTCAACTGTCGGCAGCTGACAGTGTGCTGCTAGGCCAGTTCCTTAAAATTCTGAGACTGTTTTGGAGTAGGAATAATTAACCAGCAGCTAAAAAGTTAAAGCTACTGTCTTTGCCAATAATTATATCGGTTTGTTCTTTTACAGTTGTACAGGAATGTCACAATTTTGACATTCATTTGACAGAAACAACATTATATGGAGAAAATATAAGAAATGACACACACACATCTTATGTAAGCCTGTGGATAACTTGTTTGCCTTACAGGACTGCATGAAATGGGAATGTTCCCACCACTCCGGGAG